GAACATTTGTTTCTTTCTCAATCATCGGTCAAGTTGAGTCGCAATCTGTTCAAATCTAGATCTAAACTAGACCTAGCCAGCCGACACCTTCTCGCAAGTCACGTTCCAGACCAGACCCAGATCTACTTGAACAGTGCCCACCTTTTATTAATTTCCTGGATCCGCCACTGATTATGTGAATTGATACTTGTTTCGTAAATCCCTGAAAACTTATATATTTGAACTTCTATTTTATTACTTGAAAATGATTCGATATATTAATGGGTGTGCACAATATAGTCTAGCTGGATTTTCTTTGCTGAACTGAATTGATTGAAAAAAATAACTCATGAAGTGAATTGGTTTATCTTTCAAATTTGTTCAAAACTGATTTATAACCAGTTCAGTTTTGTTTAAAACCAGTTCTAAAAAAGATTTTTAATGAGTTCAAAATTGATTTTTAAAACTAGTTCTGAACCCAAATGAAAAGTATAAAAGATTGAGGAAAAAAAATAAAAGTAAAAAAGACAAATGATACGAGAAATTTAAAAAAGCAATAAGTTCTTACAAAAAAAAAAGCAATAAATAATCAAAAAGGAAAAATAAAGATAAAAAACAGAGAAAAATACACAAGGAAAAAAAGAAAAAAAGTTAAAAGAAAAAAAAAGACAGTAAATAAATAAATAAATAAATAAGAGAAGAGAAATAAAGAGAATAAAAAAAATGTGAAGAGAAGAGAAGAAAAGAAAAGAAAACTAATCCGTAAACTTATTTAACAAATAATTCAGTTCATGAACTGGATTTTAAAATCAATTTTTTTATTCTATTATACATCCATAGATACATTTGGCAACGAATTGTCAGCACGATCTTAGAGGACGTTTTGTTGAGGATAAATTTTTTTTTTACTAGAAAAATACAATTACTATGAATTTGGTGGGAAAATGAGTTTGATAGGAAAGTTCAAAAAAAGTTATTTGGTTGGCTGAAATTTTACCAGGAAAATTGGGTTAAATTTACTGAGTCTATGTTTGGTTGGAAGTAAAAAATTGATGAAAATATAACTTCAAATTACGAAATAACCTTTAATATTTGAATCACAAATACTATTGCCTAATAAAGTAATCATTACTCTGTCGTTGCCTATCTCTTGTAGCCATCGAGATGATGCCTGACGTTCACAATTATATGGTCCAGACGGCTAAGCATCTCAACAACCAAATCATATAATCACGAACAGTAACCAAATCATCTTGTAATATATATATTCATAGTCGGGTTTTGAAGGAGAATTAGGCAACAGGGAATATACGAATTCCACAACAGATTGGAGCATCTTGTATACTTCATAGATAAAATTTTGCTTGTAATATTAAAAAGGTGGATAATGTCAAGTGCAGATCTGCTGAGGCACACGAGGCCAGAAAATATGTTGTAACTCAATACTACGACAAGAGATAACTACGAAAATATTGAAAATATTTCAAATAAACAGGAGAAGGAAAAAAGAACTTTGTATAGTTGACACATGACAGACTGGTTCTTGTAAACTTGACCATAAGCCAAATCGTCAACAACTTAATCACAGAACCAAGAACCATCCATTTGGATTCAGAACCATTTGTCTGGTCTTTCACCGCTCACAGCGAGTTCTTGCAGTGGGTATATTTGTCCGTTCACTTCATCTTCTATCCCTCATTTAGCCGGTTATCATGAAATACCACATGAGATTTGGGTATCCTGCACAGTATTTTTTGTCAATTTTTCCACACATTCATGAAAGGCTGGGCAACTATGTTTGGTAGGCAGATTTTTTATTCTCTTTTACCAAACATAGACAACACATAATACCACTCTCAGATGCCTGGGTATCCCCTCAAAAAACCTGTACCAAACACCACCTAAGGAATTCAATCGGGGAAATTGATGTTTGTAGCCATAAAAGTTGGGACTAGCTTTGAAAGTGTAAGCGGGGAAAAATGTATAGTGTTAAAACATAATATAGACTATTAAAAAGATCATCACTCAATACCTTAAGGTTTTTGATTGAAGTGGTTCTTTACACGATATTAGAGTTTCAGCAACCATAAGATCACGAGTTCGATCCTCACCGCCCCCCACTTATGGAATTAAACAAGTATAAGGTAAAAATAAAGAAAAAGAAATTGACCTATGCAATATCCATGTTTTAAGCTCAAATGACTCTTATGTTAGGGGGTGTGTTAGAGAATAATATAAACCATTAAAAAGACCCAATTTTTTTTATATCTTATAGAATCCGCATGCGAATCCTGAATTTTTTTTTTAAATGAGTGGGAGTTAACGCCAGGGAACTAAGCAGGTGAGGATAGGGGATGCAAATAGGTTAAGCCGGCATACAGGGGCCTACGACTTAGCCCATATTAGGCCAGGCTGGGCCTATAACAAATAGTCAAATAGAACAGGCCTAGGCTTTTAAAAAAACTATTTAAAAAGCAGACTATAGGCTTTTTTATACATGTCGGGCCCATGAACCAACATGCTGGCCTATATTATATTATTTATTTGTTGAAAAAAGATAAAATTATTATTTTAATAATTTTTTTTTTTTGTAAATTTATTTTGTTTTAATAATTTTAAATAATAAAGTAATATTATTTTAGTTATTTTTTAATTATTGAATGTTTAATAGGCTTATACAGGCTAACAGGTCTAGATCACGACTTTTACTTTTTAAATATAGGTCAAGGAAGATTTGTAATTTGGACCTACACAGGCTAAAAGGCTAGGCTAGGTCTAAGAATTTTTACGGAGACCTGGCCTATTTGAGCCGAAGTCTTGCCTATCCTAACCTATTTACACCCCTAGGTGAGACTGAGAATATATGTGCGATCCTCCCTAGTAACATCTTTGAGAGATGTGTAAAGCCTTAATCCTGAAACCTGCTAGGCTGCCATGAATCGAACTAGTTACAAAACGATGAACAAATTGAAATATCTCAATAAAAAGAAAAAGATATCAACCCATTAATATCCCATTTTTATACAAGCATTTTAGTGTCATTTTAAAATGCGTGAAATACATACGACCAAGATTGTTGAATTGCAATACGTATTGTGTATTGTTTTACTGATTTTTTGTATCGTGTATCGTGAATTGTAAGATACAGAATTATAATAAAAGATAATTTAAATATAATATAACTAATATCATAGAAATTCAAATTCTAAAAAGGATCCAATAAGCAAATTACAAGTAACTAAAGTGTAAACCAGTTATTCTCCTACTCATCATTCATTAAAACTATATTATCACTACTATCTCCTTATTAATAATATTTTTTTAGATTTTTTAATTTAAATCACAAATTAAATCTTTATTTTTTTATATTAAAAAGTTAAAAAAATTGATTTAATTTTCATATCGTATGATACACTTATCGTATTGTATCGTACGATACAGTATCATATCAATCGATACAAATCTCATTATGATACATCTCATGATATGTATCGGTGGGCTTCTGAATTGTATCATATCGTATGAATCATATCATGTATCGTACCATGCTACACATTTGAAATCTCAGCGGAGCTGCTTCTTTTGAATAGGTGGCTGCCAAATAGAGAAAATTTCAAGAGTGGGGCCAAATTGAGTTTTTTTTTTTTTTTTTTTTTAAAAAATTGTTTCAGGCAAAATCTAAAGATTGAAAAAAAAATATTTTTTCATAATCAAGTTACACATTATCATTAGGTTCATTTTCTCTGTCGTCAATGTAGATAAATTATTTACATTGAATCTAAAATGACATCATTTTGGGACTGAAATCAATGTATTTTTATAATTTAATTTAATTTCAGAGTTATAATGTTTTTTTTCATTATAATTTTTTAATTTTTCAACAAAAAACAATACCATTTTGAGAATAAATATAAATAACTTAACTGCACTGTAGAATTATTAAACCCTTATCATTATTCGTTGTTCAGCCTATATATAAATTAGGGGTGTTCATCAATCGATCTAAACCGATTCAAACCGCGGTGACCGAACTGAAAAATTGAAAAATCGAAAATCGAATAAATCGAAAAAAAATCGCAAAATTTAATTGGATTGGATCGATTTTCGGATTGATTGATGAAAACCAATCCAATCCAAACCGATCCAATATATTAATTCTCCTCTATCTATTTAGGCCTTTCCCTAATCATAGCCCAAAAATTTCTAAACCCATTAACCCATCAACTAAACCAAAGAAAAAATTTAGTCACATCTCATTAACAAATTTTCACATGTGTAGAGTTTCATATCTTTTTGCCAAATTTTTTTTTTTACAAAAAATGTTATTTGCACAATAATCATGTAAATTTTAGAATTTTCAAAAAACCGATACAATCCAAACCAAAAAAAATTGGATTGGATTGGATCAAATTTGAAAAAAAATTCAAACTGAATAGATGATTATATGATCAAACCGAAGGAATTGAATCGGATGATTTTTACTTCCAAAACTGATCCAATTCAGACCGCGAACACCCCTAATATAAATCACGCGTTGGAGCTGTATAGTTATAATTTTTTATTCAATGAAATTTACTATTCGAAAGATTAATTTTTTGTATTCTTTTGTCTTTTATGCTAATCCATTAATCGTTGTTGTCCAGCTGTATTTAATGGTTGAAATTTTGCAAAGTTTACTTTTATTTTTTGAAATTAAACTTGTCTCTATTCTGTGCGTATCTGCCACGACACCCGTCGTTACCATTTTAACTAAAATTAACACTTTTTATGCTAAATTAATAACATTCGTTTGCTTATTCTATCTCTTTTTGTCCAATACTATTTTAAGGTCTTATATGGTTAATACTGGAATGTAGATAAGTTGTTCTAAGTGTCATACCATTGTTAAATTGAGTCTATATAAAGCCCCACGAAATGGGTTTCTATCAACATTGTTATTGTTTTTGTCTCTAGCACTGTTGGCTGAGACATCAAGGGAAAGTGAGAAAGGTATATAACACAGTTTTTAAAATAAATAAATAATGGCTGGTGGTGGAATTGTGAATGCTGGGTCTCTCAAAAGGGCTCATCTTTATGAGTACAAGATTACTGGGTACTTCATCTTTTCTTGCATTGTTGGAGCTCTTGGTGGCTCTCTCTTCGGATATGATCTTGGTGTTTCAGGTGAGGTTCTTTATATTGATATCATTTCAATTGTTAATGCCCTCACATTGTCAAACAAAAGATCAAAGTATGTGAAGGAGAAAAAAAAACATTGCAACTTTTTAGAGTTTAATAATGCTGGTTGCATTCACACACTGGAAAATATCATTAGAAAATTAATGAATTCTTATTTCAGGTGGAGTTACTTCCATGGATGATTTCCTGATAGAATTCTTCCCCCAAGTGTATGAGAGGAAGCATGCACATTTGCAGGAGACAGATTATTGTAAATATGATGATCAAATGTTAACACTCTTTACTTCGTCTTTGTACTTTGCGGCTCTGGTGTCCACCTTTGGTGCTTCCAGCGTAACAAAAAATAAAGGCAGGAGAGCCAGTATTATTGTTGGTTCCATAAGCTTTTTCATAGGAGCTGTCCTGAATGCTGCAGCCAAGAACATTGCAATGTTGCTAATTGGTCGTATCCTTCTTGGTGTGGGCATTGGATTTGGTAACCAAGTAAGTTCAGTCCTTCCCAAAATGATAAATGATGTGTTTTGTCATAAAAAAGCTGCACTCACCACTAATTATGTATATTTCTCATTATTGTTTAGGCCGTTCCATTGTATCTATCAGAAATGGCTCCTGCAAAAGTCCGAGGAGCAGTGAACCAACTATTTCAATTAACAACTTGCTTGGGAATTTTGATTGCTAACCTTGTAAATTATGCTACTGAGAAAATTCATCCATGGGGATGGAGATTATCTCTTGGTTTAGCTACTGTCCCGGCAACTGTTATGTTCATTGGTGGTTTGTTGTGTCCCGAGACACCTAACAGTCTTGTAGAACAAGGCAAAATGGATGAGGGAAGAAAGGTATTGGAGAGAGTTAGGGGTACCCCTAATGTTGATGCTGAATTTGAAGATCTTATTGAAGCCAGCAGAGAAGCACAGGCCATCAAGAACCCATTTCAGAACCTCCTACTTAAAAAGAACAGGCCTCAATTTATAATTGGTGCCTTGGCTATCCCTGCATTCCAACAGCTTACTGGCAATAACTCCATCCTCTTCTATGCACCCGTTATTTTCCAAACTTTGGGCTTTGGCTCTGGGGCTTCGCTATATTCATCTGTTATTACTAGTGTAGCACTTGTTCTTGCCACGTTGATCTCAATGTTTTATGTTGACAAGTTTGGAAGGAGAGCTTTCTTTTTGGAAGCTGGTGCTGAAATGTTCTGCTGCATGGTAACTACTCTTTCACACTAGCTCTTGTCCTTAAAATTTCATTGCACAAATGCAATGGAAAGAATATCTATTGCCGCTTTTGCATTGCTAATTAGACCATTTTGATGTGCAGGTTGCTACAGCAGTTGTTTTGGCTCTTGAGTTTGGTAAAGGGAAAGAGCTGTCATTTGGTGTTAGTATCTTCCTTGTTGTGGTGATTTTCTTATTTGTCTTAGCATATGGAAGATCTTGGGGTCCTCTGGGGTGGTTGGTTCCAAGTGAGCTATTCCCATTAGAGATAAGGTCAGCTGCGCAGAGTGTTGTGGTGTGTGTTAACATGATCTTCACTGCAATTGTGGCACAATTCTTCCTCGTATCACTTTGCCACCTTAAATATGGAATCTTCTTGCTGTTTGGGGGCTTGATTGTCGTCATGAGCTGCTTTGTCTTCTTTCTCTTGCCGGAAACAAAGCAAGTTCCCATTGAGGAGATTTATCTTCTATTTGAGCAGCACTGGTTCTGGAAGAAAATTGTAGCAGATGAAAATCAAGATAGATCAAATGGACATGCATAAGATATCAAGAAATTCAACCAGGGAAATGGTTGTATTGAAAAATCTCTCCTTCGTATTCATAGACTCTAGAAATGGCATTCAAATTGAAAGTGTGAGAGGAAGTGAAAGTACTAGCTTTGGACTTCTTTTCCCTTCTCTATGAATGTTTTTCGATTAAAAATTCTATGACTTGTTAGTTGACTCTTCAACCCATGACATCCAAGATGTAATACGTTACTAGTATCTCTCTCATATTTATATGGAAGAATGCTATCAATACTCTTTGTTCAAACACTTTATTATTATTAAGTAAAATTTCATTTTAATTTAATTTAAATATTTCGGATTTTTTTTTATCAATGGGGCTAGTATGAAATTTTATCTAATAATAGTATTAAAAATAGTGTCAATGAAAGTGTTACTTTCATTTTTATTTTTTTTGGTAACAACTAACATTTCTTTTTTTCATATATGATCAGTGAACACGCTTTGACATTTTCTTTTTAACACTTAAAAAGAAATATTCTACATAATCAAAAGACTTATTTTTCAAAAAAAAGATCAATTGAATTACTCTTAAGGATAGGGCTGTGCGTGGGTCAGGTCGGGTAAGGTTTTTGTCTGACTCGACCCAACTTGGTTTTTATAGGTCAGGTATTTTGACCGACCCGCTTTAATTTGATCCAAGTCAGGTCTGATTTGGTTTGGATTTTGTTGAACTAGTTCAGATCTGGATCAGATCTGACCTGACTTGGTTTCTAAAGTGGGTCTAACTTGGTTTCTGAAGTGGGTCAAATCTGACCTGACTCGTTTTTGACTTAGTTTCTAAATTGGTCTCACTTGGTTTCTGAAGTGGGTCAAATCTGACCTGACCTGTTTTTAACTTGGTTTCCTCACAAAATTTCGTCGGAATTTCTACATTGCAAATGACGAGAATTTCGGCACAAAATTATTTTTTCGTCGGAATACTTTTTGTCGAAAAACAACGAAATTTTTCTCTAATGAAAATTTTTACAAAAATAAATTTTCTGTCGAAATTTAGTTTCCGTCAAAAGTTTTGACGAAAATGATTTCTTCCATCAAATGTTTTAAACGAAAAAAAAAAAATCTATCAAAAATTTTGACGGAATGTTTTTCGTTCAAAATTTCGATGGGAATATGTTACAAAAATTTCAACGAAAATTGTTTCGAGAAAAATGTTTCATTCGAAACTTTCGACGAAATTTAGATTCTCTAAAAAATTTTGACATAATATTTTTCAGTCAAAATTTTTATCGAAATATTTTTTGTCAAAAATTTTTACGAAATTATTTTACAGAAATGTGTTCCGTTGAAAATTTTGATGGAAATCTTTTTTATCAAAAAACTTGACAAAATATTTAGTCAAAAAATTTCGATAGAAATGTGTTTCGCTAAAAATTTCGACGAAATTTTTTTATGTCAAAAAGTTTAATGAAAATGTTTCCGTCGAAAACTTTCGCCGAAATTCGAAATCTGTAAAGAATTTTGATTAAATTTTTTTTCGTCCAAAAAATTCGATGGAAATGTGTTTCGTCGAAATTTTTGATGAATATATTTTTTTGTGAAATATTTTGACGAAATTTAGATTCCGTAAAAAAATTTGACAAAAAAATTATTTCGTCAAATTTTTTTACAGAAATGTTTTTAGTCACAAATTTTGAGGAAAATATTTTTTCGTCAAAAATTTTTGCGAAAATTTTTATGGAAATAGTTTTCGTCAAAAATTTTGACGTAATTGTTTTACGTTAAAAATTTGCTTTTAATGTAATTGTGATTTTCCTTTTTTTTCACATAATGGATATGGGTCAATATTAAAACAAGTCAGGTCTAAAACTGACCCAAATAAAAGTGGGTTAGTATTTAAACCAGTTCAAAAAATATAGGTATTTATGAGTCAGGTCAAGGTCGGGTCAACGACAGAGCAAGTGAACCAATTTTTTTGCACACCCGTAATTAAGACCCAAAAAGACTTATTGTGCAATTGCTTAAAAAAGGATATAGACATAAGATAGAATCCATTATTGATTTGTGCAATTGCTTAAAAAAGGATTTAGACATAAGATAGAATCCATTATTGATTTGAGATATTGGTGAGGTGAATATCCAATCTAATCAATGCCACGCATACTGAGTGTAGGAAGTTATAAAAACTACCTTTTTGTCCAATCTTATCTTTTGAGCTTTAAAAGGGAGTTTCATCTCTTATTTAATGTTTTAATTTAAGTAAATTGATATTTAAGACGTTTGGTGTACCTCATAAGGAGAATATAATATGATAATATTTTTATTCCATATTTGATAAGCCAATTAGATAGGATAAACTTATCTTATTTATTAATTGGGAAAAATAAATCTTATGTTGTAGGAGATTTTAATCTTATGTCATAGATACATCATCTGTAGGACCCACCTATTTAAAGAAAACAAAAAACAAAAAAATAAGTGGTACACCTTTTTATGGTGTGTGTAGGAAGGGTTTATTTTCTCATGCAACATGAGAAAAACAAACCCCTTATTAATTTTATCTTTTTCGAAAACGAATAAGATATCCTAGAATTTAGCCGAATAGGATAACAAAAATAATTGAGAATTTTGGACAAAAAAACTCCACAGGCTACTTCCCCAAGGGAAAAATTTTAAAATTTAAATTGAAAAATTATATAAAATTATATTATATAGAATATTTTTATCTATTTATATCATATTTGAATATTATCTAATTCCTATCAAACACATTACAAGATAACATAATATTATCTAACTCCTATTATGCACAACATCAAATATAGAATATGATATAAGCTTATCATACCCATATTATTTTCTATTTGCTATCCAACCCTATTATTGTATTAATCCTAATCCTGCCATGACTATCAAACGGCATTAAATTAAGGGTGCATATTTTCTTATGTTGTAGGATAGTAGGAGAGAAAAAAAGTAGAGATAAGTTAAATGTGGATCCCACATTTTAAATTAAAAAAGAAAAGAAAAATTAATTGGCACGGAAAACGAATTTGTGTAGGAAAAAGTTCTTATCTCATGTAGAAGGAGATAATGATTTCCCTTAAATTAATTTAGGTAAAAGTAGACCTACGCTCGGGATAACCCTTGTTCAAAACACTTTATCTGAGCACATGGGTGATGGGTGGAGTCATTTTCTTATTCTCTGAGTCAAGAAAAAAGATGGTTGACTATATTTTATTATTACATGTAATTTCATGTCGTTTAATTAATAGAGAGTAAACTCAAATTATTTAGTGAAATCAATATAAAATTCCATACTAAATTAAGATAATATTAAAAAAAACCATGTATTATTATTATTCGTCATCTAATTACATTCCGGGACCGATGCATATTTATTTCAACCAAAGGGGCGTAAGTAAACAAAATGTATATGTGAAAGTTGGCAAATTGAGCCACCATATTAGAAAAAGGTGTATTTTCGTCGACAACTGGCACATATAAAGGGATAAGATTGGTTGAACAAAATCCAAATCTGATATTTTTCCTTTGTCAGAGTTATTACTGGTTTCTATATTTATGTTTTGAATCACTAAAACAGTTTCCAATTAATGTTATACTCTGTCAGTTTAGATAGGATTGGATCAAAAATCGGAATCGTCATTTCCTAAAATTGCTCGTGTCCTAGCTGGCTTTCAGGATCAATTTATTATCATCTCGTACATTTTAATTTAAATAATATATATATAAAAATATAAATAAGTTATTCTAGTTATATTTTTTTATACTTATATATTATTTCTCAATACCATTATATTATAATCTTAACATTTGCTATTTATCTCTTTTCTTAAGATTCTAACGAGTGATCTCCAACATCATTATATCATAATCTTAACTTTTAATATTTCTTTCATCTCTTAAGATTCTATTCTCAATCATGATTAGATCATGGGTTTTGCATTTGTCATGTTGCATGACAAATGCAAAGTTTCCTACACATACATCAATATTTGTGTTTTATTTTTTTTATTTTAAACATGATGGACCCCACACTTATTGTCACAAGAAAATTTTCTTACAACATAATACTTGTTTTTCTCTTATATTATAATCGTAACCGTTATTATTTCTCTGTTCTGTCAAGATTATGATCTACAATATTATTAAACCGTAATCTTCATCTTTATTATGTTTCTCTCCTCTTATGATTATAATTTAATAGTGTTAGAGAATAATCGGAAGAGTATGATTTAAAAGTAGATAAAATAACTTATGAGACAGGCCTATTTTATTTCAACGAAAGAAAAAAAAAAATAAAAAAAATAAAAAGAGAAGCGTTGACTCTGACACTTTATATAAGTGTCTCTGAACTGGAACTGGCGCTTTGTGTGTCTTGTAGTGGTTGGTGTACCTTCCTTTAGAGAGGGAACAAAGGGACAGTAATGGCGGGTGGAGGATTACCAGATGGAGGACCAGGCAAAAGGGCTCATCTTTATGAACACAACTACACTCACTATTTCGCTTTCACTTGCATCGTTGGAGCTCTTGGTGGTTCTCTTTTTGGCTATGATCTCGGTGTTTCAGGTTTGTTCCTCCCTCAATTGTTGTTTCTATCATATTTTCACTTTCATTTTCCATCGATTCAATTTTATTTTATTTTTTTTTTGTCGATGTCCGTTTTCATTTGACAGTAATTAACTTCGGATTAACTCAACGACCTAATGATATCCACTGCTTCAATTTTGTATAATCCTCTTTCTTTTCTTCTTTTTTTTTTCGAGATTTACGAGACCTGTTTTATAAATAATAAAAAAAATTCTGCGGCAAATAAATTATTGTCGTCATCATTGTTTGAAAAATATCTTTCTTAACCAAGTTTTCATTGATGATGAGACGAGATAGAAAAAAATATAAAATTTTTAAACGAGCGGTTATAATCAAATAGCATGATCACGTAATCATTTCACGTAAAAGATGCACAAAACAATGTTGGGGGAATAGCCCCATCTATAGATCTTCATTTACATGTCAGATGCTTAAATATTTGGAGGTTCAGTGGAGACCTATGTGGACAAAAGAGAATAGAAGGCGTTCTTTCATGTTTACATGATTACTTTTAGGCTTAGTTTTTTGGTTGGTTATGGGATATTCCATATAATGTGCATTTTTTCCAATCTCACTTCTAAACTTTGTCCCCAATCTCGGCTGGAATTTTGTATTTCATTGGGTTCACCATACCTTGCAAGTTGCAATTCCGCATGGAATGAAACAAACACTGCTTCAGCTTTGACTATGCTTTAATTATTAATAGAAATTGAAAATTAGAAAATTCACAGAAGTCTATGCAGAAGGGTGATTTGTAAGTTTTAAAGAGCAATTCTTTTTCTATCGGTTCATAGACTAATTCAATCCTAAAAGTCTAAGATGTTAGGTGTCTCTACTCTCTAACACGCCCTTCAATACACATGCTCTTTTTATTTATGTTTAGAAATTTAATAATTAATTAATATTGGTCACAAAATTTTTGATATCATATAAAAAATTTAATTCAATTCAAAAACTTAAATTATTAGATAAGATCAATTAATAATTTGTATATTATATTTTTTTAACATAACTGATTAAATTAAAACAACCATATTTCTCTAACACAAACTGATTAAATTAGAAAAACTCTATACCCACTCTGAAGTTCATCACATGTTAATAAATTATAATTATAAAAAATATAAATTTACAGGCTTTACCTAAAGAAATTAAATTTATGAAAAGAAATTAAATTTATGAAAAGAAATTATGATTTTTTTTTTCAATTTGATTTTCTAACGCAGTTAGTAGCTTTACAGTTTAGGTTTCATATTAAAAAAGTTAATCAGTTCCACCATTGTCCTCAGTGAGTCTCTGAGTTCACCTGGTGGAACCTGAAACATGTGATAGTCGCTATTATTTATTGCATTCCTAGCAAGCCAATGAGCACAATGATTAAACTGACGAGGAACATAGTTGCTCTGAACATTTCATTCCTCGTTAACCCATGCGCATAATTATGGCTAACTTAATAATATTCACGAGTGATATTCCTTATTGCTGCAAAGGATCATCATAATTTTACTTGATATGTTGTGACTTGTCAGGTGGGGTGACTTCAATGGATGATTTCCTGATAAAATTCTTCCCAAAAGTGTACAGAAGGAAGCACATGCATCTGAATGAGACGGACTACTGTAAATATGACGACCAAGTGCTGACACTGTTCACATCATCTCTTTATTTCTCAGCACTGGTTATGACATTTTTTGCTTCCCACTTAACAAGAAAGAAGGGAAGAAAGGCCAGTATCATAGTGGGAGCCCTTAGCTTCCTGGCTGGAGCAGCCCTCAATGCAGGTGCCCAGAACATTGCAATGCTAATTGTTGGCAGGATCTTTCTTGGCGGAGGCATTGGGTTTGGTAACCAAGTAAGTGAAAATGTGAAATGCTCCAAAATACAAATATCATTAGACATATAATAATTAATAAAACCAAAGATAACATACATAGAAAAACCTACCTAAATGTTTTCTTACTGTCACATCTTATTTTGTAGGCTGTTCCCTTGTATCTCTCGGAAATGGCTCCAGCTAAAAACAGAGGAGCAGTGAACCAACTGTTTCAGTTCACAACCTGTGCTGGAATCTTAATTGCAAACTTAGTGAATTATTTTACTGCTAAAGTCCATCCCCATGGATGGAGAATATCACTGGGTTTGGCCGGTGTTCCTGCAATTCTAATGTTTTTTGGAGGTATTTTTTGTGCCGAGACACCTAACAGCCTTGTGGAACAAGGAAAACTCGATGAAGCAAGAAAGGTATTGGAGAGAGTAAGAGGTACCAAGAACGTTGATGCTGAATTTGAAGATCTTAAAGATGCCAGTGAAGAAGCACAAGCCGTGAAGAGCCCGTTTAGGACACTCCTCAAGAGGAAGTACAGGCCTCAACTAATCATAGGCGCCTTGGGAATTCCAGCATTCCAGCAGCTAACCGGCAATAACTCCATCCTCTTCTATGCCCCTGTCATTTTCCAGAGTTTGGGATTTGGCGCCAATGCATCTCTGTTTTCTTCTTTTATTACCAATGGAGCTCTCCTTGTTGCCACAGTCATCTCGATGTTTTTAGTTGACAAGTTCGGTAGAAGAAAATTCTTTCTGGAAGCTGGTTTTGAAATGATACTCTGCATGGTAACTACTTGTTTATGCTATTATTGTCCTTGAGTTTCATAGAACAAATGCAATGCTAACCACTGCTCCTTGAATTACTTACTGAACTTTTTGATTGATTGATTTGCAGATTGCTACGGCTGTGGTTTTGGCTCTGGACTTTGGACATGGCAAAGAACTTTCGAGAGGCATCAGTGTCTTTCTTGTTCTAGTGATTTTCTTATTCGTTTTGGCATATGGAAGATCTTGGGGTCCCCTGGGGTGGTTAGTTCCCAGTGAGCTATTCCCATTAGAGATAAGGTCAGCTGCACAGAGTATTGTGGTCTGCGTCAACATGATATTCACTGCGCTCGTTGCACAACTGTTCCTCTTGTCACTTTGCCACCTTAAATATGGAATCTTCTTGCTGTTTGGTGGCTTAATTGTCATCATGAGCTGCTTCGTCCTCTTCCTCTTGCCGGAAACAAAGAAAGTTCCAATTGAGGAGATTTATCTTCTTTTCGAAAACCATTGGTTCTGGAAGAACATTGTAGGACAGAGGGCGGGCCAAGACAAAGTATCATCAATCGGAAAGCCAGCAGCTGTTTAAGATTCTCAACAAAACAGATTGAACAAGTCTTTTTTTTTTTTTTTTAACAAAGGAAGGAGAGGGGGGGGGGAGGGGGGGGGTTAAATTGTTTCATGCTTCCATTATAAAAAACAAATAAATGGATTATAATATTTCTTTTTTTTAAGTATAGACAGTTGCTTTTATATGTATTGAATCTCTTTTCGTCAACAATCAGAATATTTTACTACAAACAATACCATTTAGAGCCATGAAGAGGTTCACAATTAAATAACGACAGGATGGAAACCATATTGACATAATATATATGAACAATACTATGCAAAGATACACAGCAGCATAATAAAACTATATCACGACGTTGTTAACAAATGCACTATGTTTTATTCAGATAAAAAAATGTACTAAATGGCGACAGTACTCTTGATAATACCAGCTAGTATCATGTTAAAAGTTTCGCAAGTTCATCAACTCCTAATGTTCCTTGTGGTACAACATTCAGAAATTGTTCATCAAAATTTTGTTTTCTTGGAATTTTAGAACTCTTCTCCCTTTTACCTTTCATGGAAACAGAGATAGTTTTCTTTGTCTCCAAAGTTGAGCCTTCTTGCTTGTCAACTTTTTTAATCAAAACCTTCCTCTGTTTCCCAAAATCAGGTTCGGGTGGATTGATCTTTTTCCCAAAATCAGGTTCAGGTGGAGCTGATTTGGCAAAGGCAACTGTGGTTTGATAAATATTGTCCGCATCGAAAGAATCTTTATCTAAAACAAGTGCACTGCCTTTCTCAACAGCTCGCTCCAACAGTAATAAAATTTCTTTCGTACAAGGGGCAGCTGGCCTTGATAGCCTAGAGGCATCTGCTGATTCTGAACCATCTAGCAACTTATCAGCATGAATATCTACCATGCCATTAATATAATTGTCACTAGCTTCTACCATCGCATTGAATCCTGAAAATGAAGCAGAAAGACCATCACTGCAGCTTTTGCTATCCATTACATCCTCAGTTCCATGGCTATCACTCATACCTTCCGAGGGGAATTCAGCATGGCTATGACAGTGAGATATGGACATACTTGGACTGGTGCTCCTGCAAGGTTCTGGCTCACCAGAGGAGCCCATGGCTTCGTTTGTGGTTTCAGCTTCATAGGTTTTTGCAAGTGAAGCAGCATCAGTAATCACAGATGCAGATTGCTTGCTATGTTCAGTGGGATACAGCACCTCAAACTTATCCGAAGTCAAATCACTTGAACTAGAGGAAATGCTTGTGTCATGCGACAAATTGATTACATGCTCTGCTGAATTCTTCTGTAGACAAGCTGCTGGGAGTTCTTGGGCTTCTGACGGCAGTGTTTTGTATTTTTCATTGTCATCATCAATTTTATTGGCTTCCTTGCAGTCATTTCCGAGATCTGGAAAAGCGGACTTCCAATTTCTTCCTCTCCACATAAGTATGTGCTCATTTTCAAAAGAAAGCAATGTGCATGGAACAAGATCCTACAGTCAAAGAACATATGTGGAAAAAAGATGTGACAATATCATAGTTAATTAAAAAAATTCAAGACATGTCAATGCTATATTACATAAAATCCAAACCAAAACAAAAGAAGAAAAATGAGTCCATATGCTCTTCAACACAGGATGCAGAATTGGTTATACCCTTAGCTTTGCTCCAATCTTTCGATAGTCACTTTTATTTAGTCCTTGACAGTTTATACGCACAAGTTCACACTCTTCAAATGCCTCTCTGACTTTTTCTACTAGTTCAAGATAAACACCATTTTTTCCTGTTACAAGAAAAAATAGCCAATGCATTAAAATAATATACAAGTATCAGAATAAAGACAGAGACACGTAGATGTTAGTTTCCCGAAAGAAGAATAATTTATCTTCAATGCACATTCTTAAAAAGGTACCTAGCTTGCATATCGGAATCAATATTCTTCCCTTCTGACGCATTTCAGTTGCTTCTTCTAGTGTTAGACCTTCTGGAACACGCCGAACCAGCCGAGGATATACTGGAGACACAGGTTTCCACAACATCAGAGGAAAACGCGGGCGTGTTTTATAATTGTAGTTTCTGCCTCGGAAAAGGAACAACACACCACCCCTTCTGTAAATGACTTTCCCCCCGGTCTTTTCCTGGAAAATCAGATAACATGAGGCAAGAGAATCCTAAATAATAAAGGGGAATGTTATGCACTTATTTGCACATTTCCATTTATTCACAAATCTTGCATTTCTCCAATCCTCATCTTTGCCCCACTATCACCTTTCATCATCGACACTAATTCTGGTGATTGAGGGACGTGAGGAAATGAGAACATATAAATAACATTACTCAACAATAAAACACGATTGATTTCTTTTTAATGAAGAATGTCATGGTATATAGCCAATATAAAACAGCAGGTTATATAGAAGTTGTCAATGAACAAAGGAATGTTCCTAAACATTAGCACGATTGAGCGTTTCTCCAACATGACATGTTTGACTCGTATATTGCTTTTACCAAATGATCAGAGAGGGTAAAAGCAGAAGAAACCAACCTCTAACTGCTGGCAAACATTATCCATGTCAACAGTACACACTCCTTTGCACTTTATCTTGCACACCCTCCGCCGCTTCCAAAGAGCATGTATATTATCCAACATGTTATGTGTCAAACCATCTCTACCTAAAACAGGAAAACCGAATGCACACAGTAGGTAAACTTTCCATTCCCAAATAACCATATAAGGAGATGCAAAAAAAGTTATCTCCATCCAATTCTTAAAAGGACACAGTTAGATTAACCACGCAGAAGAATGAAGAAAAAGGAGAGAATAGTAGGAACCAATATTGAGTTGGCGACTGGTTTTGATGCAGCTTTTAACCAAGTCACTGATCTCCTCCTTCGTCAATGGGTCCCCCAATATCTCCTCCCTCGTCTGCACGTACCTTGGGTTCGTCCCAGGCAAAAATGGACCGGGAGACTGAACCGGCTTAACACCCTTCTTGTGCGGCGGCGGAAGCACGAACGAATCGAACTCCTTCAGCTTCTTCTTGCTTGGTGGCAGTGGGGCCCTCCCGGTCCAGGGACGCGGCATGGTTACCGGTCCAAACGGCACAAAGGGCGGTTCCCGCATTTTAAGGGGCTTAACCTTGGGGGTCTCGGTGTAGCTATACTTGAACTCAAACGGTGCACCGTCAATCACGTACGACACTCCGTCTTCGCTAATCTTAACATTTTCGGGTGCTGCGCTCACAGGTTTGGGTCTCCATTTTGGTATATTTGAAAACCTAAGCGCTGGGTGCGATTGCCGATCAACGGTGGGCTTTGGTGGTGGTGGTTTCTTGTTCTTGTAGTATTTGGAGTTTTTCCCCGGTTTGGCCGGAGCGGAAGGGTTGCCGGACGACCGGGATGTTTCGTTGGAGTGGAAACCGGTTTCATGGCGTGGGTGGGTGAACCTATCGGAGCGGGAGAATCGGAGCTCCGTTGATGGACGCGGGTTCGGGTCAAGAGATTGCGAGAAGAGGGGAGAAGATAATGTGCTTCGCATTTTTTCAGTTTCTTCTCAACTCTCAAGTGAGGGATGACATGACGTGATCCATTCAAAACTGGGAATTAGCAGTGTGACGTCGTATTTGGTTTATCTTCAGTTTTAAGATAATATCTTATATTTGGTTAAATTCGCATATTTTATTTTATTTTTCTAATGTTATCAGAACTCACCCTCTCATTCATCTAGCTGAGAAATGGGGTCGTTTGTTCAATCAATGGGTGATTAATTCAACTGTATGACTCAGGTTAGAATATAAAAACCAATACTTTATATATAAAATATTTAAATACATATAAAAAAATGTTATATTAGACTGCAAGCATATATAGTTTTTGTAGGAATAAAAAAAAAAGTCATATATAATAATCACATATAATATATGGTAAAAAAATAAAATAAAAAATTCAAGTATTAAGTAATCATATATAATTCTTCTACCAAGTATTCTCAACTATTATAATTCTTTTACTAAGTATCATCAACTAACCATATTTAATCTTAATTTATTATTTCGTAAATTTCTTTAATGTTGGAAGTTAAAATTTGAGATCACCGTATAAGAATATACCACTAGTAAACAAAATTATAAAAAAATTTGAAAAGAGTTTCACACTTTTTTCAGACAAGATGAGACAATTTTAATTTTTTGTTTCATAAAAATGCATGATCCGTCGATTTTTATAACTCAATCAGGTCACCGATTTTAATCAATTTTGATCGAATTCAATACATGACCAGCTCGATACTTGATTCGAAACAGTTCAATGAACAGTTTATCAAATTCTGGATCAACCCGTTCGAGCCGAGTGCGATAACAATGCCTTTTTGTCTGGATTTGTTTGGTGTCCGGTGATTGCAGCTTTCTTCAGTAATTCAGCAGTGATGTATTTGATACGGATGAATTAATGATGATGGGTTAACTTAAAGCATATAATAAGGAATTGAAAAACAATGTGATTATCACTAAAAAAAAAACAATGTGATTCATACGCTCTATTTGAAGATAAAAATTGACATCAACGCTTACTTTAGCTCAGAAAATTTCACTCCATCTTGTACTATTACTTTAGCTCAATTATGTATAAAATAATAACAAGAGTAAATACTTTTTTTGGTCATCAGCAAGTTTTACGATATCCGCTTTAGTTCCTAACAAATAAAAAGATTTATCGTGGTCCCTAAAAAATTTAAAATGAACCCATTTTAGTCCTTTTAGGGACTAATATGGGTCTTTTTTGAATTTGTGAAGGACTACGATTTCAACTAAATGGGTCCATTTTGAATTTTCTAGGGACCATGGAATTTTTATTTGCTAAGAACTAAAACGGGCGTCGTGAAATTTGATGAGGACCAAAAAAGATATTTACTCTAATAACAACAACTCATTCATTTTAAAATAAATTATATTACTCAAATTGGTTTAGTGACAAGTAATTTGAATAATTTGTATGAAGTTATAAATTCTACTTTTATGCTACCATTATATTCAAAATAAATAAACTATAAAAAAATATTTCTGTAGTTAATGCAGATAAATTATCTGTATTTACTTTCAAAATGACGTTATTTTGGGATTGAAAAATTAGAAAATTATATTTATAAAGACCATAATAATTCTGAAATAAATTAAAATTACAAAAAAAATACCATGATTTTAGCTTCAAAATAACATTGTATTGAACTTATTGCAGATAATTTATCTGCAGTAACTATAGAAAAAGCAAACCCGTAAATTATATGATAAGACATTATTTTAACTTAACGAATAATTTCATGTTCGCGAGAAATCCATGTATGTTAAAAATAAGGGATAAATATGAATCATGTTGTAGGTATAAAATTAGTGTTATGCAATTACGTAAGACAAAGTAAAGTAATTAAATAGTATGTCTTTTCAACTTTTTATTATTATTTAATTTGTCTTTTTTTTGTAGGAAAAAAAATTTGTATTGAACTTATTGCAGATAATTTATCTGCAGTAACTATAGAAAAAACAAACCCATAAATTATATGATAAGACCTTATTTTAACTTAACGAATAATTTCATGTTCGCGAGAAGTCCATGTATGTTAAAAGTAAGGGATAAATATGAATCATGTTGTAGGTATAAAATTAGTGTTATGCAATTACGTAAGACAAAGTAAAGTAATTAAATAGTATGTCTTTTCAACTTTTTTATTATTATTTAATTTGTCTTTTTTTTTTTGTAGGAAAAAAAAATTGTATTGAACTTATTGCAGATAATTTATCTGCAGTAACTATAGAAAAAGCAAATCCATAAATTATATGATAAGACATTATTTTAACTTAACGAATAATTTCATGTTTGCGAGAAATCCATGTATGTTAAAAGTAAGGGATAAATATGAATCATGTTGTAGGTATAAAATTAGTGTTATACAATTACGTAAGACAAAGTAAAGTAATTAAATAGTATGTCTTTTCAACTTTTTTATTATTATTTAATTTCTTTTTTTTTAGGAAAAAAAAAATCAGTCATGTTGCCTGACGGATCTAAAGCCCAAAGTAATAATAATAATTTGAGTGGGAACTTTTATTGGTCATCCCAAACAAAAATGCGACGTCGTATCTGCTGGGGACCTTTACCCCTGAAACGAGAGCATCTGCTGCCATCATTCAATCAATGCTATACAGAAAGCCTGCAAAGTTTCATTTACTTCAAAGTTGAAAGCACAACAAATAAAACCAAAAGATTAAGATTAAAATATGGTGGGGTCACAAGAATTTAATAATACTTTTGCCTGAATCATATTCATTATTGCCTTTTGATGCCACATTTAGACTTATCAAGTAAGATGCTTCTGCGTGGGATTCTCGAAGAGTTTGTAACTTCATTCTCTTCTGCTTTGAGCGGCCGAAGGCTTCTTTGTTTGGCTCCTGAGAAAATTGAAGATAACAAAAGAAAAAAGCTTGAAGGATAACTCTTCAGTCTTCACTGCTCTGAGGTTTGTACTATAGTGCTTTATGTTGTCTCTTTCCTTCTATTTGAAATCAAGTAATGGCAATTTTGAACTCTTTGCTTTTACTTTCTTCATGCTTCTAAAGTTCATGCATGCTTGGGACTGATGCAGCCACATTGCCACTCTCTCTCTCTCCCTCCCACACACGTACAAGCAGAGATTATGCATCCTTCTAGCTGATTGAGCTTGCGCCATTTAAGAAATAGTGAAAATTTAGACCCCAATTGTTTCTTTTTCTTTAATTTTCGTGCAGCAATTTTCTGGCCTGCCTGCAAACTCTCTGATTATCTAATTTTCCATTTTCTTTTAGGATACTTCTATTTCTTTTCAAAGTCTGAATTTCAGTGAATTGGGAGCTTATGCAGCATAGTATTGGCCATATTGAAATTAATTTCCGAAGAATTATTAAAGTAATTTGGGTGTCACCTGACCTCTGTTCTTGAGGGGTTTACATGTTTCAATATTTTGATGAGTTATGCCATATGGGAAACCGGAGATTGCTTTTTCTGTTGGCGGTACTTGCTGTTAATTATTTGCTGTTTCAGTCAATATTGGTTCCATATGGAAGTGGAAACGCTTCTTGGTCTTCAGCGCCGGAAAACTATGAATTGTTACATGATAAAGTTAGCTTTCTATCATTGCACTCAACTCCTAAGTATTTCACTATTTGGAATCCACTAGCAGGTAATGCTTCAGAGTTTTCTAACTCTTCTGGTTTCATTGCTATGTTGGGAAAAGTGCATATTCCTATTTTTGGAAAAAATGACAGCTTGGAGTTGGAGAGTGTTGGTTTCAATAAAAGTTTCGCAGCAGTTTTGGCCAAGGACAGTAAGGTTGGCTTTTCAGTGAAGCAATTTTTGGAGACAAAAAGGGATATTTCTACAATATCTCAATTGGTAGAAAATAAAAATATGGATTCAAGGGATACATCTCAGGGTACAACTTCCTCTGCTAATCTGACCAGTCTTGAAATTTCTCCCCAGAAAAATGATTTTTTTTCCTCAGATAACAGTGCTGCAGCGAGTACTCCTAGGAAAAAGATGAAATGTGACATGCCGCCTAAGTCAAGAACATTAATACAGGAGATGAACCATATACTGTTGCGCCGCCGTGTTTCTTCTCGTGCAATGGTATTAATATTTCTGTCAATTATGAACTAGCTACCTGGAGTTATGGTTATTTCAATCTGAAGTTCAGCTTTTGATTGCAGAGACCAAGGTGGTCAACCAAACTTGACCTGGAAGTTCTTGCTGCAAGGTTAGAGATTGAGCATGCTCCTATAGTAACATATGACAAAGAACTTTATGCTCCTCTCTTTCGCAATCTTTCTATGTTCAAAAGGTAAGCTTGGTGGAGTTTTTAGGGGGTGTGAACACAACTAAAGTAAGTCCTGCATTGACATGCATCGGTTCTGACACATGCATGTTTTGTTAACACCTGCTTCTTCTTATTGATCCTTAAAAGGTTTGGCCATTGCCCCTCCCCTGAAGGATTAAAATAGAGGCTGGAATAAAAAAGATATTAACTTCTTGAATAGCTACTCACACCTTTAACCCCCTTTGATCATGCAGGAGATTACCTTAATCACAATCAATTAAAGAAATTACTCAATTCGCATCATCAAATTGTGTCATCTTAATACTTTTTCTAAATATGATATTGGGCTCACATGTTTCCTCCAATATGCCTTTTCCTTGTCCTTCGGTGTGTGACTTATGTGTGAGCTACTATGTGTGACTTTTTTCTTGTTGCATTTGCAGGAGTTATGAACTCATGGAACGCATACTCAAGGTTTATATATACAAGGATGGAAATAAACCCATCTTTCATCAACCTATACTTAAGGGACTATATGCCTCGGAGGGTTGGTTTATGAAATTGATGGAAGAAAATAAGCATTTTGTTGTGAAGGATCCTGCAAAGGCCCACCTGTTTTATATGCCATTTAGTTCACGTATGTTAGAATACTCCCTTTATGTTCGTAACTCTCATAATCGGACAAATCTCCGTCGGTATTTGAAGGACTATACAGATAAAATTTCTGCAAAATATCATTACTTCAACAGAACTGGTGGTGCTGACCATTTTCTTGTTGCTTGCCATGATTGGGTATGTTGTGTGCTCTTTTTTATTTTTTTTCTTTAATTCCACTTGCATGATGAACCACATACTGTTCCAGCTTACAAGATATTATATTATGATAGTTGAATTGGATGTCTCTTTGATGTCATAATGGGACATATTCACTGCGAAGAGGTCCTATTTTGTCCAACTATGTCATAGCCGTTTTGATGAATATATAAGGGTTAAAGGATAGACATAAGCAACCTTTTTGTTGGACATCATGTTCTAAAATAGACCCCTCTTACATAGTGTTATGCTGAGTTGCATCATCTACTGTAGTTTGCATGTCAGTAAATCTATCTGTAGTGTGTGTGTGTTTAGCATAACACTATGCTTTTATCATCATAGCTAAAAGATTTATAACTGGATTGTTGCAGGCTCCGTATGAAACAAGGCACCATATGGAATACTGCATAAAAGCCCTCTGCAATGCTGACGTAACTCAAGGCTTTAAAATAGGAAGGGATGTTTCTCTTCCAGAAACTTATGTCCGGTCAGCAAGAAATCCTCAGAGAGATCTGGGAGGAAGGCCTCCTCACCAAAGACCCATTCTTGCTTTCTATGCTGGAAATATGCATGGTTATTTGCGTCCAATATTGCTAAAGCACTGGAAGGACAGAGACCCTGATATGAAGATATTTGGCCCATTGCCACCTGGTGTTGCAAGCAAAATGAGTTACATCCAGCACATGAAGAATAGCAAATACTGTATATGCCCTAAGGGATATGAGGTCAACAGCCCAAGGGTGGTTGAAGCCATATTTTATGAGTGTGTCCCTGTGATTATATCTGACAATTTTGTGCCACCGTTTTTTGAGGTTCTAAATTGGGATGCATTCTCAGTAATCCTTGCAGAGAAAGATATTCCCAACTTGAAACACATACTTCTTTCAGTGCCTAAAGAGAAGTATCTCAAGTTGCAACTTGGGGTCAGAAGGGTTCAGAAACATTTTTTCTGGCATGCAAAACCCTTGAAGTATGACCTCTTCCACATGACCCTTCATTCAGTTTGGCATAATAGAGTGTTTCAAATAAAGGTGAGACGATGATGCGTATGAGCCCTCTGAACTAGAAAGCTGAAGCACATCTCGCTAAAGAGCTTATGAAAAAGAAAAGAAGACTTAATTATAATAGACACTGCTTCTTGAGATGTGGAGGGAATTTCTGGGTATGAGAAATTGAGAAAGAAGATAGTAGGAACTAGGAATCTATATTTAGTGTCCTATTTTGTTCTGTTTGTATATATGTTGCACCATATTTCTTCTGAATGTATTAAAAAGAAAATATTTCGGATCATTTTGCTGAGTCACCATGTTTTGAAGTAACAAGTAAGCTCAACTTTTCTCTTTCTTTCATCACTCTTGTTTCAATTATCTCACATCTCAAGCATGTTTATCCCTAAATGTGACAAACAAGCGCTCAAATAGTTGTGTCATTCTCCTTACGAAAGCCCAGGAATTTGCTCCCAACACTCCACGTGTCCCCTCCTTCTTTAGAGGGAAGGCAGCAATCTTCGCTGTCCTATCCATTGCCCTTCAATTATGAGAAGATCCCAATCTCCAAGCTCCTTGTTACTAGTTTTAATCATCTTGTAACCTTTAGATCGAAACATTCGCTGCATTTATAGTACAACTGTCATTGTCAGATTTAAACCAAAAAAGAAAAGAAAAACACAAACCTTAAATCTTTGAGTTTCCATGAATTTTAGAAAAGCAACAAAAAGAAGTGAAATTAATAAGAAATAGAAGTAATAATTAAATCATTGGATTCTCCGTTCCATTGTGAATCAAAAATGGACCAAAAATAATAAATTAAATTAAATACGTAGTATATGTTTGTTATATTGCGTGTATAGAATGATAAGTACAAATGGATAACCACTCAGCCGGAGATATGATGTTACAGCGACTGGATAAAGATCAGTGAATGTTCAAATTCCCACCAATTTTTAAATCCCTATTAATCCATTGATTTCCCCTTTCCCTCCCCTTCTGGTCTTCTCCCTTTATATTATATATATATATAATTATGCATTTCATATTACCTTGATTCTGGAGAAATTTTGTGTGTCTGTATTTGCAGGGTGCTGCCATTTCTATTATTGAGCTTCAAAAAGTTCCAACCACGTGTTGTAACTCAGTAACCGTAAGCCACTTTATCATTATTTGATATTGTTGCCTTCTTCTTCTTCTTTAAGATGTCGTGTCGTTATGGATGCTTGGATCTATCCCTATTTCTTTATGTCTCACTTTGTCTGGGTTGTAATCATCTGCTTTGCCGTTTCTCTTATTGTCTTGTACTTGATTTCAATTTGCTATGGCCGTTGTTGTGGTTATGATCAACAAAATTCCCAAAGGCTTTCTCAATTTTATGCAAACTGACACTTAACCTATTAAACATGATCATTTGTGGGTGTCATAACTCAAACGAGATGCAAGACTAGGGCGGCTTAGTTCTTCACTGAATGCTAGATTCCGGGGCCATTTAGATTTTTATCTTTTCTAATTCCTTATTAAATTTTGTCATATGATAGCTCATAAGAACGAATTGCTTCTTGCTTTAGATTGGATGTTTGTGACTAGTATGTCTATCTCTCCTACAAACATTTTGGTATAATTTTACCAAATTTGACGTGGTTCCTCATTTCAGGCCCGTGGCAATGATATGATTGGATTTTACTAATTCATGGATGGCATACTCATCAATCTTTTTAGATTGACAAGTTATATCAGTGATCGATTTATACAATTTATTGGTGAGTTCTTGATTTCATTTCTACATGCTTGCTGTATAGCATGCTTTTTTTCACCGTGGCATATTACCCAAATGTAGAAAGCTATGATTTTTCAATTATCATTTTCTGTTTGAAGATGTTTCTTTGTAAAGCATAATGTAGCTATATTTTGCATGATGCCAATACTGCAGAGGATCTGGTACTTAGAGATGCAGTTAGATGCAGTTTTAGGGTCACTCCAGGGGTCATCTCTTCAGTACACTGTTCAGAAGATTATACCAGAAACACATCTTTGCGACCTCCACAAATTGGAGGTGAAAATCATGGTATCTGTGAAAGAAGAGCCTTTAACAATAGTAAAGAACTGCTTGTTGATACGAGATCTATAATTGTAAATGCCAATTATATCACTGCAGCCGTTCCTTCCTTTTTGTTAAAAGGGTAATAACCTATTCTCCTTCATGCGTAACAACACCACAAATAAACAACAATGCATGAATTTAAAGTCTAACTGGTACTCTGTCAATGAACTTTTTCAAATCAGATGAAATTGAATTATCTATTTATTTATTTATTTTTTATTTTTGAAAATTTTTATTTTTATTTCACTTCTTTCACCTAAATTTTGCACGAGTTGTTCATTCTATGTTAATAATTTGTATTTTAATCATTGCTACTGCATTATCCTTATCTCTGTGCAGTTTGGCACTCCCATTATTTTGTCTACGATATGCTTGGCGTTTGGGAATGGCTCCTTGGAGATATTCTTTCTCATGCATTAGATGTGCTCAAGTTCATATTCATAGGTAAAACAAAAAGGTTTATGGAGGCAAACTGGTGGGAATGATATATTTTTAAAAAAAATTTACATAGCTTCTTTTCTGAATTCACTTTATTCTTCTTAGTTTATTCGTCCTGATTAGCATCTTTTAGCCAGAAAAAGTAACTGCATATGATTTTTTGGTTATTGTGTTACTAAATACTGCTATAAAATGATAGTTGATAATTATTGGAATTCTCAGAATTACATCTCGTGTGTCAAACACCTTGCGTGGTTCTTCTGATGATATTGGGTGGTTGCAGCATGCTTCTGGAATGCCTCCAGTACAGGATGGAACTTCAAGATTCTTGGAATTGCTTTCAGAAATAAGGTTCCCTATTTTATTATAAGATTTGAATTGAAATATACTGAACTATATAGATTTCTTTCTGCAATTCTCATTAACCTTTTGAAAAGACCTTGATTTTCTTGTCAATTCTTTCACATGCCAAATTTGGTACAGTTGTGTTAAACTTTAAATAGAACTTATTCCCCATTTTATATTAGTGCGTTTTAAGTTCCCCCCCAAGTTTTTGGTCTTGTTTGTTTTGTTTTTTCGTATCATCATATGTCGGTTTTTGAATAGAAGTATGATAGAGATTATCTATATTATTCTGTCATTTTAAAATTATGCTTCCTATTCTCACAGAAAGTCAAAATGTAGTTGATTTGTTGTTGATATTTTATTGGCGAAGTTTATTTACATACACTGTTTTGGTGATTTTATTCTACAGGAATGGAGAGCACTCATTGCCCAGTTCATTCGTTTATCTGTTGATTCCAGGTATGACAAAATCCATATGTCAACTACCTTTGCGGTTTAGATTAACGTACATGTTCATTTTATTGTCACAGGTCTCTTCAGCAATCATGGACCCTTGTATTTTGTTGCCACTAAGAGGTTCTTTTCAAAGATGGGTCTAGCTTGCCATATTGCAAAAGTTCATAGTGAGGTAATTGATCATTATTTTATTTAAATTAGTCAACCAATATTACCCAATTCTATTAAACTTTCCTTTCACATGGTTCTGTTGTTGTTACCCAACATTACAAAACCTGGTTCTGTAGATGTTTTTTTGCTGATATACATTTAACTTTTAGTTCAGTAGTAATGCATTTTTCCCTTTGAACTTTTTTTCGAACACAAGATTTTCAAACATCTCTTTTTTCTTTACATTATTCATCATAAAAAATATATTCTTCTGGTGTCTGACTTTCCAATATACATTTGTTTCTCTTATAAGGCATCAGTAGAATACAATGCCTTGGAACTCAAGCTATACATTGAGGAGATTTACTGGGGTTCTGGCAAGCCTGTCATGCTACTGGGACACAGTAAGGGTGGGATTGATGCTGCAGCTGCATTGTCTATATATTGGTCCGACCTGAAGGACAAAGTAGCTGGTTTGGCACTGGTACAGAGTCCATATGGTGGCACCCCCATAGCTTCTGACATTCTCCGTGAAGGCCAGATTGGTGACAAAGAAGCCAGGAGGATCATGGAGCTTATAATATGCAAAATAATTAAGGTACCGATTTCCTATGCTATAAAGTTTGTGTGTGGACTTCGAGAGTACGATGTTCTCACTTATTTGCCTAAAAATGATAGCAGGAAAGAAAACTGTTTCACTTTAGATCGCTATACCTGCACCATGAAATTTGATGTTTGTGTAGGACGTTTGTAGGCTATATGTATCCCCTCGTAGGAGAAATATGGTATATGCCAATTGCTGATTGATTAAGGTGTTTTTCTTTCAAATTGGCAAGTATGGTTTTAAAATAGGCTGCTGGCCTACTATTGAGATTCTCTGAACCAGATCATGTATTCATGTTGCATTTTGCTTCAACTTCATCACAATTTTATGTCAGGAATCCTAAGTCCTAACTGCATCTGATTTTGATCTCTTTCTTTGTTTATACACACAACCAAACTTCATAGTACATGAGGATATCCTTTTCCTTTTTATTGTTAAATGTGTTTCAATTATATGTACTTTAGGGTGACATACGGGCATTGGAGGATCTCACCTATGACAAGCGGCAGGAGTTCATCATGAAGCACAAGCTCCCCCTGGATATTCCTCTGATCTCCTTCCATTCTGAAGCAAGCATTGCCCCTGGTGTTCTTGCAACAATGACCCAGATAGCTCATGCAGAACTTCCCTGGCTCCTACCAAAATTTGGAGCTGAGGAGTCTGATTCATTTGATGAATCAGGACGCCAAGTTCCTATAATGATTCCTATATCTGCTGCCATGGCTGTATGTGCTCTCCACCTGCAGCTCAGATATGGAGAAAAGAGTGATGGCCTTGTGACATGTCGTGATGCTGAAGTTCCAGGATCAGTTGTTGTGAGGCCCAACAGGAAGCTTGATCATGCCTGGATGGTTTACTCTTCGAAGAAGAAAAATCCTAGTGAACCTGACGCTCGTGAAATGTGTGAAGCTCTGCTGACTTTACTTGTAGAGCTTGGTAAGATAAAAAGGGAAGTGGACCAAGTTTTATAATGAGATATGCTTCATTATTCTTCCCAAATTCAACTTCGGTTTTGGGTGGCCACTTGGTTGTGTTGCTTGTTCTGTTTTCTTTGGTTGCTGCTTGCTTGGTTTGAGCTACGAGGCTATGAACAAACTTCATTTTTCTCTAACGGATGTTTCAGTTTTTCGGCTTCGTGCATATACAATCCAACTTAGTACCCTTGTGAAACATTTTAATTCTTGATTTGGATTTGGGAGTCACTTGAAAAACCATTATAATAGAAGCACCCTCAATTAGTTGCACTTGCCAAAAAGCATAATTTTCTAAACCAGAAATCTACTTCAGATTGAGAAGCAAAGCAATCTACGTCAAGCAACAATCACACAGCATGTCTTAAAGCTGTGATGTGGCGAGAAAACTCTCTGAAGGTCCAAAGTGATAAGAGTCAAATTAGAAAAGTTTTTGTTCTAGGTTCTTCATATTATAATAGATATAATAAAATAATTCATGTGTCTCCTAAGGTTTAAATTTGGGGGCGAGTTGGTTGCGTATTAGAAACTATGATTACGTTGTTTACCAACAAAAAAAAAACTATGATTACGTGATATAGAGTTTAATTCTTATCGTTTCCCTTTATCAAATAAAAAGTTGAATTTAAGAACCAGGTAATTACAAATAAAAAAATGTAAAAAATAATTTAAGTAGGACATATACTACAGCTTTATCATTTGGTATTTATGGGAATTCATATATTGGATTTGGCAATATCAAATATTTTAAAATATGAAATATTCCAAACTGAAACTAGAGGTGGCAAAGTAGTCAGTCCGCCCCCTGTCAAGGATTGGCCGGCCCGAATATATTTTATACCTCACCCCCCGCTATCAATCTGCCAAAAAATGAGTCAGCCCTCCCTATCCCATTTGACCGGCAGGGCGAGCTAAGCCCGTTTTGCCGGCCCTAATTGAAACTACCTCTATTATATTTTTATTTTTATTTTTTGGTAATCTAAATTACTCTAATTTTAAATATTTATACAAATTACAAATTTAATTATTCAAGTGACAAGAACTAATTAACAATTTTGGCCTTGTTACATTTCGGGTGGTGACAATTGATGGCTTTTAAAGTTGGCAAAAAAAATTAATATATTATTATTTTTAAAAAAATTACAAAAATATATTCGTTTTGAATCAATTTACGGATATATTCCACTTAGTTTCGACCAATTTAGGCGAAAGAAATCTCGCTCAGTTTGGGAGTCTAGCCTAATTCAGGCTAAACTAGTCTTGCTCCATAGAATCAGCAACCCTATAAATATCCCATTTTTCACTTTTTTTCATTTCACACAACCTCTCTACCTTCTCTTAGACTTTGCTTTGACTTCTCTCTACATTTGTCCTTGAGACAAGGTGCGAGCACTAAGACTTGACGTGGTAAACCAAAGGGGGGTCCAGCTCCTAACGACATTTCAGATGTGGTCGTAGAGTACCTTACTCAGGCCAGAGCATATATTTAGACCACCTGGGCAAACAAACATGAGATTCTTCCCAATCATCATACATCGTTGCAATTGCTTTCTGCTTTCTGCTTCGTATACCATGTCTTTATATATGAGACTTTGAATCCATAAGAATGGTGATCCTCTCTTGAACCAGTGCAATTGAGACTGATGGTTCTTTCTTTATCATCCCTAACAATCAAATTATAACGTACACATTAAGACAAACAAAAATACAATTAATTTTTCATAATCATAAAATTCTCCAATAACGTACCTAGTACGAGTGAAGCAATAACATCAGAATCAAGCTCTGTGTGATCCTGATAAATATGGTCATTCAAGCAATTGTGATTTCCACCCCATTTAGTAACCTTTCAATTTTCACTGTACGTTGGTTTTATTACCCTAACCCTCCACAGGCAACCCTGCTTATGCGCATAAAATTTCATGCTTAGCTTTGTAGGCGTGCTCTCAACCACAATCGCTTCTTGATGCTCCTTTATGAGGTTCCGCTTGATTGCCATCTGCACTTCTTTTTTTATGCAAATTCTTGATTAACAAACAACTTTTTTCCTAATTGCCATGGACCCTGGACTGAACCCGAACCCTCGGTATAAGATTCTTGTTTGCTCGGATGATCTCAATCAATGTATGTGTAATGTGGGATTCCATCCCAAAAAGGAGTAACAGTCTCATTACCTATAAGTATGAATTAGTATTATTAACAAAAAGAAAAATTACATAACCAAAACCATATATGTATATATGAGTTGTTTACTAACATGCCTTCATAATGTTGTCGTAAAACAGTCGAGCCTATGTCATAATGTTCCGGGACTTGAGACTCCCCCTATCATGATATTCTTGGATTTGAGTATTGCCCGAAGCATTAGCATCCTCGGCAAGAAGGCGATCTTCCATTGTAATATTTTCATCATCGTCCATAACCCAGGTAGGGTCATTTTCATCTTCCTCAAACATGATAACAACTGGAGCAACAGATGATGATGCATTATGTGGAAAATTGAAAGCAACTGACCTCATGGGTAAAATATCATCCTCTACTCCGACAATATGCACGTACAACTCTAAGAAAACTTTGCTTAACTAGTTGAAGAATTCTTCCATTACAATATCTACGTCTTCATCATCCACAACTTGCAAACTAATATATTCTTCATATTGCAATAATCTTATTGTGACAAGAGTTATAAATTGGTTACCTTCGAGAGCTAACTTTTGACGAATTCTCTAATGCAGTTCATCAATTTTTGAGTTGCGCTCGATACGTGCTGGCCTTTTTTCGCCTTCAAATACTACACTATGTCGGTCTTCCACTTTCCTACCATTATAATTTAAAACAACACGAATAGAATCAAAATGTGAACTCATTCTTAAATATATAAACAAAAAACCCAAAAGAGAGTATGAATAAGCAAGTGAAGAGTGGAGGTTTATAATGGAGAAGAGTTGTGAAGAGTATGGAGAGGAGATGAGAGGAATTTAAATAGGGATAATAGGCCAATCACGCCCATATTGGGCATGTTAGAGCATTTGATCTCGCCTGAAAAAGGTAGATTGGTATGCTAAGTCTAGGCCAAATAGGGCGAGACTAGTTTAGCCTAAATTAGGCTATACTCCCCTAGGTATTTCGTCCAAACTGGGCGAGACTACTTTGCCTAAAATGGACGAAACCGAGTGCAATAAATCCGTAAATTAGTTCAAAACTACTATATTTTCATAAATTTTTATTAAAATAATAATATATTAAATTTTTTGCCCTTTAAAGTTAAAACAAAGCTATGCTATAATTTTGTAATATTTATAAAAGACCCTGATTAAGTTTAGTAAAAATTTAAAAGAGCCTTTACCTAAAATAGATTAATTAATTGAAAAGAGCCACACATTATTAATGCAAGATAGAGTTGGCAATATAGGTTGAGCCCGGCGGGTCAACCCGCCAAAACAAGGCGGGTTGGGTTGAGGTTTTCAACCCACCTCAACCCGCCCCGCCTAGAAGTGGGTCAAAACGGGTTGGCAGGTTGACCCGCCGGGTTATAATTTTTTTTTTTTTTTTTTTTTTACAATTAGGTAGTATTTCATTAGTCCTTAAATTTTTGTGATATCCAAAAAAAATTTATCTTAGTACTTCCTAGAAAAAATAAAGAATAACAATTTTATTTATATCAAATGTTATCTATATATAAATTCCTAAAAAATGTTTGATAAATATTAGTATACATTTGAGATTGAGACTAAAAAAATATAGAGAAGTGTAAAATAAAATAAAATTAAATTAAAAAATCATAAAATATAATTTATTTTCAAATTTTAATTTTAATTTTTTTTTAATTGGCGAGTTGGTGGGTTGACCCGCCAACCAACCATAAAACGGGGTGGGTTCATTTTTCCAACCCATATTTTTTTACGGATCAACCCGTCCCTCCGTTTTTGGCAAGTTGGTGGCGGGGTGGGACGGGTCAACCAAAATTGTCACCCCTAATACAAGAGGACCGAGTGGGTTACATGGTGCAGGGCTAGTAAAGATGCATTAGTGGGTTGGACCATTAACAATTTGATTATAAGTTAAAAGCACAAAGTCCAAACTAAAACCGAAGACATGATGGGCTGATGGCAAATATTGGAGGCAAATGGCAGGCAAATCTCTCACCGTGCTGCTAAGAAGACTGGATGGCCCAAAGTTTGCGGAAGAGATTTGTAGCATATATTGAAGAGATTAAATTTTTAAAAAAAAATTCTGAAAAATGTTTTTTCACTAAATTAAAAATATTGATTATTTTTTGAAATAAATTAATCTAAATACATACTTTTTGTGTACAAATACAAGCATGTTAAACAGGTACAAATGTAAAATTATGAATAATTCTTCAAGTTTTTTTTCATATATTAAAAATAATAAAAATTAAAGAGTGCGAACCATGGTAGTTAAAATTCTGATTTAAATCTGCGCTTTTACGATTTTACGATTTTTTTTAATCAAAATAATTTCATCAAAATTTCAAACGCTTTTACGTTTTTATGATTTTTTACTATTTTTTTATGTTAAGATTTTACGTTTTATAATTTTTTATCCTCCTTCCAATTTTAAGTAAAATCCCGATTTTAACTACCATGGTGCGAACTCATGCTATACAATTTTTTTTAAGTGTGAATGTAATTCAGGATAAAAGTTTTATGAATTTGAAGGGGGCAATCGTTCCTCTAACCCCTCCCTGACTCCTTGACTTTATCATTGCATATATATCTTTTGACACCAATGTCAAATTTTTTAATTTGTCATTCATTTGAACAGTTGATTTCCATCAATCTGACGACAGTAATTTTGGGTTACATCCATTAATTAATTAATAATTCTTAATAAATTATCTTCGTCAAATTGACGAAAATCAAAGGTTCAGTTTAAGTGCTAAATGTTTATACATATAGATATATATATATATATATATATATATATATATATATTTATATATATATATATTTTTATTAAACTCGACTAAAGGTTAATTGGTTAAAAAATAAATTTTCATTAAAAAATAGAAAAAAATTGACTCTAAATAAATAAATTGTAATCCTGAATAGAAGCAAGCATTAAAAGAACACTATCTTAAGCAGGCATGAATAAATTAATAATATTATTTATATATAAATAAATTACATAAATTTAGTATTATTATATTTTTTTCTTCGTTTTATCTATGGGATATGTTTTTCTCATGTTGCATGAGACAATTTGTCTCATGCAACACACAAAAAAGTGAGTGAGACCCTTTTTTTTCTCTCCCTTCTTCTAAGTGGGATTCACTCACTTTTTTGTGTGTTGCATGAGACAATTT